ATTAGTACAAACATATCAAAAATGTTTGAAGAAACATGTGGTCAAGCCAGTGCCAACTTGGACAGAATCAGAACATTGGCTGCTTGTGGGAAATATTCCAACATTCAGCCAATCAAGAATGTTAATCTGAAGTGAGAATTAGAAATTTTTGCCCTGTTCAGGATGGCTTGGAGCAAAGGTTAATGCTGAGAAAGAGATGCTTGGTTTCTTAGGATATTTTTCCCTTATTGTGTATTTTCAACAACTTGAGTGTTTTAGGTATTTACTATCTTTAAAGTAATTTCTCATTACTAATATATCAAGATATATTTCTGTTTCAGGAATCTAAATATGTGAAGTTTTGGATACACATTCAGGGCTCCTTTGGCCTCTAAAGAATAGGACCTTAGGTTCTATGTATGAAATCAGGCTAGAGGGGAATTACTCAAAAGGAAAGAAAACTTTCTGAACCCACACATAATTGTGGCTTCATGCAACTTGTCATATGTCATTATTTTGCTTATAACAAACATCTGTTACAACAAGATTTATGACTTTTATCCAGTTGACCTAATAAATTTATTTTCTGCCCTGACCAGCATGGCTCATTTAGTTGGGCATCATCCTGCAAAGTGAAAGTTCACTGGTTCGATTCCCGGTAAGGGTACATGCCTGGATTGTGAATTTGGCCCTGGTCGGGGTCAGTATGGGAGGTAACCAGTCAATGTTTCTCTCTTACATTGATGTTTTCTCCTTCTCTTTCTCCCTTCCTTCCCCTCTGTCTAAAAATAAATAAATAAAATCTTTTTTAAAAAAAGAAAAAAAGTTAATTTTAAAAATAAATAAATTTATTTTTTCATCCAGAGTTTTTCCAAAGTTGAGATTTTGGACCAGATAATTTTTTGTTGTAGAGGGCTGTCCTAGGCGTTGTAGGATAGCTAGCAGAATATTTGGCCTCTACTTACTAAATGTCAATAACACCCTCACAAAGGTCTCCAGACATTGTTAAGTGTCTCCTTGGAGGCAAAATGAATCCTAGTTGAGAATTACTGCTTGAAACAGTTATACCAGTAAAATATCAACATGTTTTAAAAATTCAGAACAGTGAAAGAGGTCTAAATGAGCCTCCATCCTACCACCAAGAGAACATTTCTGCTACCCAAAGGTAATGAATATAAACAACTACTTAGGTCTTCCAAAAAGTTGCCACACATGTGAGTGTGTCATTCATTATGTGTAATCATGACTATTCAACATATACCTTGATATTTTGCACTTTAATAATATATCTGTGAGATCTTTATATTATAGTGCTTACAGATTTATAATACTCTTTATAATGTCTGCACAGTGTTTTACTGGTATGGATGAACCATAATTCATTCAACCAGCTATCAGTATAAATACAGGTTCCAATTTTTTTATCTTTCAAATAATGCTATGGTAAACACCATTGTATTTCCATGATGAATGCTATGTGGTTGTAACAATAAGATATAATTTAGAATATGTCCCTAAAAGTTGAATCGTTGGGTCAAAGGAAAAGCACATTAAGCATATTTGTAGATAATGACTGGGGACGACAGTATCTATTTCCCCAGGTTACCAAACTTTTAAATCTTTGTCCATCTGTTAGGTAAAAAATATTATCTTTCTGTGTGTGTATGCACACATGTGTATGTGTGTCATGAAAAGTGAGACTTCCTATACTTATAAGATTTTTTTTCTTTGATGATACTGCATATGTTCTTTGCCTGTCTTCCTAACAGCTTGTCAGAGTTTTTTTCTCATTTATAAGAACTTTATATATATATATATATATATATAAAAAATTGATTATGTTATTACAATTGTCCCAATTTTCCCCCTTAGGCACCCTCCACCCGGTACCCCCATTCCTTCCAGCAACCACCCCCCTCCCTTAGTTCATGTCCATGGGTAATGCACAGAAGTTTTTTGGCTTCTCCATTTCCTATACTGTTCTTGACATCTTCCTGTCTATTTTGTACCTACCAATTATGCTTCTTAAACCCTGCACCCTTTCCCCCATTCTCCCCCTTCTCCCTCCCAGCTGACAACCCATGTGATCTCCATTTCTGTGATTCTGTCCCTGTTTAGTTGTTTATTTAGTTGTTTTTGTTTTTTAGGTTCAGTTGTTGATAATTGTTTGTTGTCATTTTACTATTCATAGATTTGATCTTCTTTTTCTTAGTTAAGTCCCTTTAACATTTCATGGAATAATGACTTGGTGATGATGAACTCCTTTAGCTTTACTTTGTCTGGGAAGCACTTTATCTGCCCTTCCACTCTGAATGATAGCTTTGCTGGGTTAGAGTTGGTTCAGCTATTTCTTGGGTTGTTTCATGTATTTCCTGGAAATCGTTTTACTTTGTAGGTTTTGTCTGCTATTGCCATTTTTCCTTGATTTGATCTAATCTTGTCATGTTAGCTTCTATTCTATGTTATTTGTAGTTTTAATTAAGCTTTCTTGTAGTTTCATTAAAAGTAATTATTTTTTTTCTATTTTCAATTATTTTTGCTAGTTTCAATTGACATTAGGGAGGGGAGGGCAGTAGAAATATCACTACCCTATGTTCAACAAAAGACAATAAATGAACTGAATTAAGCAATAAAACAGTGTTTATTAAATATTTGTCAATGTTTGCTCAGGTGTTTGAATAAAAGAGAGATGTACGAGTTCTTTCTGGAAAAAGTCCAACCATTGTTAATATAATGAGAACGGTTTGCATGACATCATTGTAACCTGACAGTCAAGGAGAATGGACTGGAATGTACATGTGTAAGCAATGATGACTTCATTGTACTAGTCAGTGGGGGGCAGGAGATGCCCTTGAGTAAGCACGAGTACTGTGTGGCCATCGCATTCAAAATGACTGAGCGAGTAGAACAACCAATCTGTACCCAATTTTGCATTAAGCTTGAACATTCCTTTGCGGAAACTATTTGGATATTTCAGGAGGCCGCAGCTATGGACAACTGGTGATTGGCAGCTTCATCTCAACAATGCACCTGCTCATGCATCATGTCTCATGCAGAGTTTTTTTGGCAAAATGTGAAGTCACCCAGATGACTCAGCCCACCTATGGCCCAGATTTGGTGTCCTGTGTGACTTCTGGCTTTTCCCAAAACTAAAATCACCTTGGAAAGGGAAGAGATTTCAGACCATGGATTATATTCAGCAAAATACGACAGGGCAGCTGATGGCGATTGAGAGAACTGTGTGAGGTCCCAAGATGCCTACTTTGAAGGAGACTGATGTGTCATTGTCTTATGTGCAATGCTTCTTGTAGCTTGTGTCATCTTCAGTAAATATCTCTACTTTTCATAGTACATGGCTGGATACCTTTTGGACAGACTTCATATAGCACAATCTTGGGAAATTAGGAACAATGTATAAATATGTTTGAGTCAGGCGTGGATCCAGGCTCTCATTGTTCTAGAAATTTGGTTGAAGGGTAGTTTGCGGAGGCCTTGAGTGGAAGAGAGGCAGTGGGATTGAAACTGTCATTTTAGAAATGGCTAATATTAGGATAGGTGTAGAAAAAATATTTGGAGTACAGACCACAGTTCAAACTTCTGATTCTTAGTTCTCCACCAGTATTTCTTCACTGAGAGTAGTCAGGCCTCATGAGGACCTCTTGGGAGATAGTTGAAACTCAGAGTGAATAAGAATGTGGAAGGATTTTTAGAGGGCAGCAAGCTTACTTTAGATTTAGGGGGGATCCCTAGTAGTTTTTCGAACTAGGAAACGAGATGATGAAAGCTGTGCTTAAGAAAACTTCAACTGGCAGTCAGATTGAGATGTTCATTTGATCCCACTGGAACTCAGTGAGTTCCTGTTTGTACCAAGTGTCAGTCTGGGTACATTGCACAGGATAAGGAACAGTTCCTGTCTCAAGGAACTTAGTCTGGTGGAGACAAGAAACTGATTTTTAAAAATATGATTCAGTAAAATTTTAGTAGTAGAGCTGATCTCAGCTCAGATTATTGGAGGGAGGGGCAACTGTTACATGTTGCCAGTGTCCCACCGTGGTAACAGATTCAGTCTGTCACAGTTGTACACCCCTGAAGTCTGATTCTGTGATTAGCATGGAATCTGTTGAAGTCTACTCCAAACCCCTGGAATCCTGTTGTGTCATATCAACGTAGCTGAACTAAATAGCATTTTGTATTTCATATTTCGGTATTCACTCCCTTCTAAGTCAGGTTCCAGTCCCTAAACATGATGGCTTGCCCCTGTTCTACTCCACTCTTACTACCTCCATATCTTCTCCAAATTATAGTTGGGTGATCATCCCTTCTCTAAAATAGTTTAGTTCACTTGTCATGCATGTCCCAGATACTTTGCTCTGTAGTAGTTTTTACGTCAGTCTTGCCTAATCAATTAGAGCTACAGACTACTCGAAGACATGAATAATCATCCATGTTTTATTTATTTATACAACCCACATTACTACAAAAGATGATTGAAGCATGATTCTTTCATGCCTTACGCTTTCACCTTTGCTGTGGTGGTGGACACTCAATTATGGAGGGTCGTCATTTGAGCTGAGAGCATGTGACCGGCATAGGAGTTCTTGTTGTTTTTTTAATTTAATTTTTATCTATTTGAAAGTCCTACAAAGATAAATAATATTCATCAAATCAACTATATGGAGGAAAAGAATATGAAGTTGAGACTCTTTCAGTCAATGAAAAAGTGTAGAAAAGTGTATCTACAAAACATACTAGTTATACATTAAATATAAATTGCTTTTCTACTAATATGTGCATATTACCACTTAAAATCATTGTATGCCTTAAATATAAATTTTCCTTAAAATATTGGTATATGTTATAGTGGGAATTTATATTTTATGAAGGAACTGCTACAGCCCTGTGGCTTTTTATCCCTAACAGCTGTGTCCAGCTGGTGGTCCACATTCCCGCCACTTCTTCAGCGAATGGAAACATTTAGGTCAATATTGATATAAAACTTCATGAACTTTCTTCTCTTTCAGCTTTGGTTCGCCTTTGTAAATGGATTTTCTGGGCAGATTTTATTTGAACGTTGGTGCATCGGCTTGTACAATGTGGTAAGCATTCTCCATCTCTGTCTGATAGCACACAGAACTTCAGTGACATTCCTTCACTGTTTATGTCTGGGAAGTGTATCTAAGTCCATCATCTGTATACATAGCAGGCAGCACAAATACATCTTTAGGGCCTTTGTTGCTGCGACACATCCTGCAGAAGCCCAAACTCTCCACACATGGTTTCAATCATAGCAGATCATTCTTGAATAACTCCATGAAATTATTAACCCATATATCTTGATAATAGACCCTTGTTACCTCCTTACTAAATGCCTGTGCAAAATTTTCATGTTTTTAGCTCAAGTAAAAATTTCTGAACTACATCTAAACTCATTCCACTTTGTAATTTTATTTCTGAATCCTTGAACATAGATATATGAACATACAGTATGTCATCTAGTGTTCTTTTTGTTCCCCTTAAAAGAGTATCTGTCCTTGTGGAATAGTGTTTTCTTTCACAGTTAAAGCTAAAATAATGGATTCTGACTTCCATCTCCTGTGGTAAATGGTAATCAGTTTATTTGGTATTTTTTAACGATTTTTAGGTTCTTTTTAAATTACTTGACTGTAATGAATGCAAAAGCTTGAAAGAAATATAAATTATAAGCTAAAATGATGAAGTAGCTACCTAGCTTTATGTTCACTGGCATGGAGAACTGAGGGGCTTGTGCTAAGTGCTTCAGACACCCCAGTAAGGCAGGTGGTTTGAGTTGCATCATCATACTTGTTTTGGATCCTGACTCTGAAGTTCTCTGCTTCGTGGGAATTTCAACTCGGAAGCAGCCATCATAGATAGGTGTAGCTGGAAGTTACTAGATGTACAATAATATAAATTGTGGTACTATAAATATTTACAGCTTGAATATACATTTTTGGCTGGATGTTCAAGTCATCCATGCACTCAACCCTGTTTTCTTTTTTTTCCCTTTCTTTTCTTTCCTTCCTTCCTTCCTTCCTTCCTTCCTTCCTTCCTTCCTTTCTTTCTTTCTCTCTCACTCTTTCTTTCTTTCTTTCTTTCTTTCTTTCTTTCTTTCTTTCTTTCTTTCTTTCTTTTTCTTTCTTTCTTTCTTTCTTTCTTTCCTTTTCATTTCTTTTCTTTTCTTTTTTGAGTGGCTGCTATACTAGGCACTAGATATAAAATACTGTATACAGCAGGCCACCCCAGTCTTGTATAGCTTACAGGTTAAGAGAGTCAGATGTGTAGACTAAGATGTCACTGAAACTGAGTTCGAATCTTGAGTATAACACCATTGGTCAATAGCTGTTACATGCACTACAAAGTGCATGAACACCTTTGTTGCTAATACTTAGACCCACAAAGACAAAGGTGACAGGTGGTGAGAGCAGGGCTGAATTGATGTTCATTTATCACCTGTGCTAGAAAAGCTGCTCCAGCCGCCTATCACATGGATGGGGGCTCAAGGACCTCCTCTTGGACAGACTGTTAACTTTGCAGAACCTAAAACTGTTTTGAGCAGGTTAAAATTATGTGACCATTTATTGGGAAATATGCTGACAGCTCCATAGTGATTTAGTGCTACAAAGAGCCAAACCCATGCCCACATATGTATTAAGAAATAGGAGGCTGAGACCTGAGACTATGATTTACAGCTAAAACCAGAGCTATAATACATGTCACCTGATTACATGACAAATGGATTTTAGCCCTATTTTCACACTCAGGGTATGAGAACTGGATTCTTTTCTTAGTTCCATACAGTTCTGGGCAATTCAAATTAATTCAACAAACTTAAATTGTGTACCTACTATTCATAAGATGCTGATAGGCTATAGGATGGTATTGGCCAAAATACGGTCCACAGACCACTTGCATGAGAATTACCAGGGTTTGTTTAAAGATGCAGATTCCTGATCTCCACCCCAATTTAACAGAGTTTCTCAGAGAAACTGCATTGTAAAGGAATTTTTCTAGTGGTGGTCATGCACATTAAAGTTTAAGACTCAAAAAGACCTTTGATCACTAGGGCTGGGAATACTTTTTATCTACTTTGGTTCCCCATACCATAGAGAAGAGAATACGGCAGTAGAGAAGTGAATTTCAAGGTGAAACAGCCCTAAAGTACTGTGGAGTCCACCGTGCATTTTTTGGAGTGATCTGCCAGGAAGCGGTGGCAGAGAATGGGGAGTGATGTGGGATATCTAGGATCTGTAAGGTGGAATCAGAAGAGAGGGTCATTGACCTCCAGACTCAATCATGCTGGGAGGACCAAACCTTTTGAGAGCGTGGAGCTTTGCCCACAGGCATGTGTACATACAGCCCTGCAAACACATTTCTTTCTGAAGCAGTTGAAGCTATTGGCTTGGCCAAAAAGTCCTTTTAGTTTTTTCTGTAAAATAAGACACCATTTTTCATTTTCACCAATAACTTTATTGATTTGGATATTTTGAGTATGTAGGATATCTCCCATGGGGTAGAGCATTGATTGTTCTCAATTAATATCTCAGTTTGATTTCTTTTCCTTCCAGTGTTGCTGGTCATATTTTCCTTGCATCTTTGCATTGTTGGTAGAAATCAACAGAGACAAGAGGGAAGGGGGGGCAGGGAAAGGGAAGGGAAGGGGAAAGTCAAGGAACATATAGCAAGGACTCATGGACAAAACCAAAGGGGAAGAGCTGAGGGAGGGAAGGTGGGAGGGGGCAAGGGACAGAGGTGGGGGGGAGGCAGAGACAAATGTATTTAAAAAGTAAATAAATTTAAAAACAAAACAAAACAAAACAAAAAGAAATCTCAGTTTGATCGCTATCAACTTCAACTGGTCTACCGGACCATGAAACATCGTCCAGCGAGAACTCTCCAGCACAAAACTTCACAAACCACTTTTGCCATGTTCGATCAGTCACAGCACCTTCTTCATATGTCGCACAAATCCTTTTTTGCATTTCAGTTGCATTTTTACCTTTCTTGAAATAATAAAACATACTATGCCAAAAATGTTGCATATTTTCTTCCATCTTCAATATTAAAATGGCTACACAAAAATTCACCAATTTTGATAAGTTTTTTTAAATGTACCGTGATAGGACAACTGTCACAGTACAACCTAGCAAAAGTGTTTCAAATGAAGTTAAATAGCCATCTTATTAAAAAAAAACAAAATGAACTTTTTGGCTAGCCCAATAACTTAAGACATCATGACCCTTACTGCTTTAAACCTTACTGCATACTTGCTAAGATCACTCTCTTACATAACCACAGGGTAATGACCAAAATCTGAAAGTTTAACATGCATACAGTACTCTTATCTAATACACATTAGTCCATATTTCAGTTTTACAATTACTGTTCAAATAATGTACTGTTTAACAATTTTTTTTCCACTCGACAAAAACCCAGTTCAAGAGACAGTTTGTGACATGTATGACATTTCCTAGTGACTCCTCTTCTGTACTGGGTTCTCCTTTCCGTTTTCTTCAAGCAATATTTCTCCTGCTTCTTTTTCTTCTAAACATTCTTTGTTTGATTCCCAAAGCCATCACTCTTCTCAGTTTAACTCTGCTAGCAGATAAGACAAAAGTAAAACTGACTTAAACACTTAAATCTCTCTAAATCACGAATGAGTACTATCGCATTAGATTCTCATTATTATCCTATTATCATCTTAAATTTCTACAGCATTTTATTTTATAGGTAGAATAAGAGTAAAGAGGCCACCGGTGACAAAAGCTACCATTATCAGATGGACTTCAGCTAAATTTTATCTATTTTTTAATGAAGAGATAACTTTGTTTTTAAACTGTTTCATAAAATGTATACTATTTAATTTTATCAAGCCAGCATAACAAACTGTTAGCCAGCCTCACTTAAAACATGAATACAAAAATTCTAAATAAAACGTCAGCAAATACAACTCAAGAGTATATCAATAGGATGAAATATTTGACCAATTAAGATTGAAATAAATTTTACAGGAGGTTCAAAAATTTTTTTTAAAAATTAATAATATCACTGTAACAACAAAATGAAGAAGAAAAATGTGATCCCATCAGTAGATGCTGCAAAAGCATTTGAGGCCGTTCAGCTGCCATTCCAAAGAACTCTAAGTAAAATATGAGAGAAAGAAGCCAAATAACAAACAATGCAGATTTTTAATAAAACACCAGTTGTCATAAATGATAAAATTCTAAAACTGTTTCATTTAAAATAAGAAATTAGAGATGCCTGCCATCACTGTGTAATTCAGCATTGTTTTGTAATTTTCAGCAACTGCTGACAAAATTAAACTATTGAAAATACTAGAAAAAAGATTAAATATTTCTGTGCTTCACAAATAGGTACACACAAAATCATGGCCATGTTAATATGTTTATATATGATTGTATATCTAGAAAACCCAAAAGAAATCAGTAAAGAAATAGTGAAATTATTAGAGAACTTGATAGGGTGACCAGATCCGTAATGAATATATAAAAATCAATAGCTGTTTTTCCCCCACTCCAGCAGTGAGCACTTAGAAATGAAAAGGAAGTAATAATTCTTTCAAAATAGCAATTAAAATTACACTTAGCATAGAAACAATATTTATATGGAAAAAAAATTTTTTGAAGTATGTGAAACAAGATTTGAACATATGGAAACATACTCTATTCTTGTATGGGAAGACAATATAAAAAAATCAGCTTCTCTAAAATTAATATATAAATTTTATGTGATTCCAAATAAATTCCCAATATGTAACTGTTTGAGGGTGAAAGAGGGGATTTGCATAAAATGATATTAAAGTATAAATGAAATGAACAACTACCTGAGAATAAATATGCAAAGCAAATCAAAAAAGGGCAATTAGAAAGTTAGACTTATTTTTGCTGAACATTAGACTATACCATAAAGCCACTGTAAGCAAATCTATGTGATATTAATATAGAACTAGAAAAATAAGCTAGAAAATCTAGAATAAGATCCAAAGTCTATAATATGTGATAGTTTCAAAAATATATAAGGTGGTATTTCAGTTTAGTTTGAGAGTTTGGATTAATTAGTTGTATTCTCACAACTGGTTCTTTATTTGGAAAAGTAAAAGAAAATTTGATTCCAATCTTAAACCACATAGTAAATAAATTCCAGAATTAAGCCTTAAATGTGAAAAATGTAACTGTAAGAATTCTGAAAAAATTCCTGAAAACTTCCATAATGCAGTTGAACACTCTGAAGCTATCCTTGACCATACGAAAATTAAAAGCGTTTATGTGGCAAAAGAAACCATAAAGAAAGGAAGAAGACAAAGAATACATTTAGTAAAAATGATATATAACTTAAAGACAGAGTTGTTATCTATTATGCTGAAAGAACTCTTAGAAAAGGTGATAAAACATGAATGTAAAAATATTCAGAAGACTTGACTAGATGTTTCACAGGATTCCAAATCCAAATGTTCCACAAACGTATGGAAACATGCTCAAAATTATTGGTAGTTGGGGAAATGTACACTTTTTAAAGGGAGAGTTTACATCTTTAGTTTTTTAAACTAGAAAATATGAACTATAACATAACACCCATTGCTGATAGGAAAGCAGGAAAAAGATTACTGTTGTCCTTTGGGAAAGAAAAATACATAACTGATTGGAACCTTTTTGAAAAGCACCCAAGTAGAATCTTGTAAAATTAAAAGTATTCATATCTCTTTATCAAGCAATACTGCTTCCGGGAATCCATTGCATAGAAATAAAAGACAAAGTATAAATGGTATACTATGTTATAGATGTTTATTACATGATATTTGTGAGAACAAAGACCTTGAAACAAAAATGGAAGCACAGCTGAAAAATCATGGTACATCCATGCTATGAATTATTACGTGAGCAGGGAAATGCTGCATTAGCGTCAGACCCAGGGGACTCAGAGGGCTTCTTATGATGTATTATTTAGTGAGAAAAATGTTATGAAGAAAAATGTGTATAATATCTTATTTCTGTAAAACAAATAATGATCCCTCAACAGTATATATGTGTGTGAGGTATGCAGTAAGCAGGGTGAAAAATGCGAGAAGACCCCCTAGATCGGTAGTCTTGTGGTGGAGGGTGGGGGAAGACTTGAAGTAGGTAGAAGGAGAAAAGCAAGTGAAAAGGGAAAAGAAAAAATAAGATGGCAGTATTAACAGCATACGTGTATGCACCACAGTAAGGGCCAGTTTGTGTACTAAAATTGTGCAGGACTTCTGAGATGTTTGTTCCCAGGACCTCCACCAAGTCAGAAAACAGGTAATTCTGTTATTGTGAGAGAAGTGAGGGCAACCACTCTCGATCTTTTTCTCTTTGAAATCTGTAGAGCACTGAAATCCCAGGGCTGCTTTTCTTTCTGCTTCCTGGTGAGGGAGGGAGCCCGTAAATTGTGTTGGCCTTTCTCCACCACATTGCCAGTGGCTTTCTCCCAACAAACTTGGGAGAAGCTTATTTCTCCGGCTCCCTGTAACTGGTATACATTCAGAGTTCGCGTAGAGACAACATCCCGTTCCCGTGGGCTTGAGAGCTTGCCAGGTTTGTGGGTATAGATTTGCTTGATGCTGCTGCTAAGCAGTGAGTGACTGAGCCAGTCTCTGTGACCCGTTTGCCCAGAACCACAGAGGAGAATGGCCCACAGGGCTACCACACCTCCCAGCCTGAAAGGTGTTCATTCCAAACCTCTTCTTAAGCATCTGGCTTTCCATCTCATAAACACACATACAAGCACTTCATTCCCCTTTAGAGCCTCCAGGTAAAAGTCTTAGAAAGTACTACCTGCCCAAGAACTTATCATCACAGGAGGTGGTTCTGTCACCATCCCAGCCTTGTCTTGCACTGAGTCCTCAGCCAGCCACCGTCTGGGGTGTCTTAGCCATTCCCCCCTAATATGCCATGTGCATTCATGCCTCGAAGCTTTGTGAGGGGTGCTGTTTTATGAGAATGCTTCCTTCTGCCCTCCTCGCATGCACATCCCTTATCATCCTGCCAAATCCTATGGGAACAGTGTCTTACAGTTCAGATGCTCTTTGGGCCAGGAATTCTTTCTTGACTCTCCCTTCTCCTTCCCCATTCTTCCCCATGAGTAATTTGCAGAGCACTGTGTTTTATATGTTTATTTACTTGCCTGTTGCCAGCTGCCCTCTCTCCACCTCTGCGGTAGACAGAGTTCCCGGAGGTTAGAGACCTGCTTCTTTTCCTTCTTTTTTCTTCTGTTTTTACATCTCTGTATTCCTGGGGCTTATCGCAGTATCTGGCCCATAATTCATTCCCAATAAATGTCTGTCAGGTGAATAAATGAAGTACATTGTGCCTCCTGAAATTGGAGCATAAAATCAGGATGGGAAATTGTAAAATTGTGCTTCTACCGGCACAAAAAGAAAATACAACAGCACTTCACAAAGCTAATGATGGTGTGATTCTAAGTCACCACTCATTTTACCAAGAAAGGTAGTTGTTCATTTAACAATATTTATTGGCTAATCAAATGTTTGTAATGTTGTTTTGAGTGTCCTGTGTATTCATTTTATGCTGATGAAGTAACAGTTAAAAATGGTCTTTCACTTATTTTCTTTGTTTTGGAGGGTGACTGGGGAGTCGTGAATCACTGGCTCTCAGGTTCGGACTTGACTGAGAGTTAAGTCATCATTCCACAGAACTGAGATACTTGAGCTGTGTGAGTCGGAAAGGCCTCCTTTAATGGCTCGCTGTTCTCCACACAGATATTCACTGCATTACCACCGTTCACTCTGGGAATCTTCGAGAGGTCTTGCACTCAGGAGAGCATGCTCAGGTTTCCACAGCTCTACAAAATCACCCAGAATGCTGAAGGCTTCAACACAAAGGTAAACAGAATGTTATAACAGAGCTCTCACTTGAAAAAGGTGATGACGTTTTGTCTTCCTGCTCTAGTTATCTGCCTGTGAGATAGCTGAAGCTTCAGAGATTATTTAAATGAGGTAAGACCAGGGGCCCTCTCCCACTATAGCAAGTCCAATGAATCTGAGGTGCCAAATCAGGAAAGAAGTTGCCACATTACACGTGGTCCTTCTTTCGGTTCTTCTGTGTCAATTCCTTCCTTCTCCACATGTGCCTCTGACACGGGTGTGGCCAGAAGCACCCGTGGCCCCCATCCCTTTAGGATCAGCCATCAGACACACCCCTTAGCCTTTCACGAAGTCCAGCGCTGAGGCTGGCAGGAGCTTGCCTAACAATCCTCTTGCCATCATCACTTGCTTTTCCGTTTAAAGGAAAATGTTACTTTAGCTAGTGAATAAAATTAGACAGATGTGGACACAGAAATTAAGTCGGTCATGGATATTATTTTTCAGTCTGGAGAATCAGGAAAGAAAATGCATCTAGATAAAAAAGATGTAGGCGATCTGGACAAGAGTCAAGCAGACACCAGGTTAGGTGTTACAGAGATTGGCAGTCGTGATGGCAAAGGGGATCTCGCCCCACCTGCCAGTCACAGCTAAGAGTGGCAGAGCAGTTGCTGCCACTGGCCAGAAGGGAAGAATGTGCCTGGCTTGGAAGAGGCAAAGGTGTGAACATGCCTGCATTGCTCCGTTTCTTTCAGGTTTTTGTGTGGGAGGGGACTGGGAAGTCTAAACAGAGGTCCATTGCCGTGGTCAGTTACAATACTGGATGCTGGTTGTGTATATACATGATTTGCTTAGGTAGCCACTGGGGCTTAGTAAGGAAGAAGTGTGAAGTCCTCAGTGAAAGGACAATGCCTGGAGACCTCATTTTAAGCTAGGTATTACCAATAGCATCCTTTCAGAGCTGCCTTATTTGAGGGCATGTCCGAGACTGGAAAAAAATGAAAGGGATTCTCTTGGTTCTGGTATGTTCCATACACAGGAAACCTGGATGATTAATTGTGTCAGTCCTTGTTTACTGTGATTCTATAATGGGAAATATCTATCAATGGCCTATTTATTCTGCATTACTTACATAAATCTGTTTTTTACAGAGTTTGAATTGAATCAAAAGATCAAAAGGCTGTGTAAGGTGCAAAATCAGTAGGGAATGGATCCATTAATGGTAGTAGAGCTAAGAATAACCTGAGACTTATTTGAAGAGCTGGGAAGGAGGGTAGGGGGAGTACAGAAATCGTGGAAAAGCAAACATTTAAAATGGGAAAATCTCTTTGTCTTATAATTTTTCATTATTTTCCGTTGTCCCTCCACTACCTAGGATCAAACTATATGACAATTCCCAGATCAATTTGTAGATTTCTGAGTAAGTTCAGTCTGGCTTTAGTGGTTCTATCATCTCAGTGGTTAAAAAATATGACTGAAATTCATTTGTGAAACCATAATTTAGAAGAAATTAAACTTTGCATTCTTTTGTGTGACCTTTCAAGTGTTAAGATAAAGAGAACTTTTAAACTGTGCATGATGACATTAACCAAAATTCTAAAAATTAAAAAGTTGAGTGGGATGGATTTTAAGAAATAAAACAAAAGAGTGAGGATGCTGGGTAAGAATTTAGATTTTAAATGTTTTTACTGCTTTTAAAAAGTACACGGTTTCTGTCTCTTATTAACAAATTTGACCAAATAACCTTTTTTCTGGATGATTTTCCTATCTTTGATTGTAAAATCTTTGGTGTCTTAGGATTCTAAAGAAAATAGCTCATAATTCATTTTTCAGATGTGGATGGATTGTATATTGGTCTATGTACATGTGTATATATATTTAGGTCTTTGTACTAAATAATAGTATCTGGAGATCATTCAGTCAGTTGTGTGTAAAAAATGAGGAAATCGTTTTGGTTTTTTGTTTTTTTTAACTTCAAGAATAATACGCAGCTTCTGGGGCTGCCCAGCACACTGCTGGTGTCCTTCACAATGAGGCGTTTGTTGAGTTACACAGAGGTCAAGAGCTGTGGGCAGTTCCTGACTCCCTCGGTTTGTTTTCCCTTAGGTTTTCTGGGGTCACTGCATCAACGCCTTGGTCCACTCCCTCATCCTCTTCTGGTTTCCCATGAAAGCGCTGGAGCATGGTAACGGCTTCATGATTTCAACTGTCAGCAAGTAGCTTTTGCAATCCCTCTGGTGCCAGTTGTTCACAATTTTTTTTCCCGAGTTCTGCAGACCTAGAGATCACAAGAACAAATTTGAGAAGAAAAACATACCTAAAATCTAACGAGAACTAGTCACAGGTTTATAGCTTGTAGGTTTCATACACTCTGGCTCTGAAAACCCATTTTCTTTCCAGTTGCCTGGAGAGTTTAAATACTAAGAATCCCAAACCTTATTTTTAATAACTGAGTTGAGGATCTTGAAGGAAAGCACTGTACTGTAATGAAACATCCATGCCTCTTGTCCATGAGTTTGAAATTTTCTGTTAATTACTTGGGCTTTAGTTTTCCAAGCTACACATACCTCAAGCAGAATAACTCAAATCGTGTAAGTTTAATCTTAACCTAGTTTTCTGAAAGAGTCTCCTCTCCTTGGCTTATACTTTTCAAGCAAACTTTTAAAGTCCGTTTAAGGACTCTACCTCCTGATTGCTTGTAGTCTTCCCCACAGCTAGAAGATGTTTGAGAAAAGTCACCATCTCTGCACTTGTGCACACTTACACATCCAAAATGTCCCCTCTGACAGACACAAAGCTTTTAGTCTCAGAAAACAAAAATGTATCATGAGAATGCTTCTCTTTCATCCCTCTCAAATTGTAATAATTCCCCTGGGAAAAATTATCCAAATGTTGACTAGACAAGGCCTTTGATTGTTCAGAGACCCAAAGAATATAAAGTTTCCAAGCTTCTTTGTTTCTGTGTCAATGTGTTTTGCGCTTCAAACAGAAATGATTCATCCTCATTGATATTAACCTATTAAATCCTGACAGACGAAATGCATGCACTGCCAATTTATTATACCCTGTGACCTAGCCTTTCCATTTCCTCAGACTCCTTGTCCTTTGAGGGTCCCTAATTCTCTAGATCAGAAAATAAAATTTTCTGCTTCTAGTCCCACTCTCCAAAGGGCCTTTCTAGTGGAATCATTTTCGTTTAACTCTAAAGCTTTTCTGTGATTCATCTTTACTCATAGTGAATTTAATTTGTCTTGAAATGGTTTTGTAAGGGTTTGCAAATATAAGAGTATTCAATATGGTTTGTTTTAGTAGCACTGACAATTTGCTGGTACAAGCAGCCATCATTGTATCAGGAATGACTCCTCCATCATTTTATCAGGAATGACTGGTGATGGGAAGCAACATGTCTGATGATCATAAGAACATTTTTTGCAGTTGTCCTTTTATCTCTGAGCCCAGCCTTTTGTACTTAGGAAAAGACAGTAAATAGCGTGGATTGACCACAAGTACTACATCCAGACCCTCAGCCCTTATTATGTAGACATTACACTCTGCTCCTAAGTCCAAAGAGGTTGTCTTTGGAGTCTGAGAAGTTTAACAAGATGGTCATTCACTTACTTGCTTCAGAAGGAACTAATGTGGCCCCATTCTGCAGGAGAGACAATGGTTTTCCAATACCAGAGCTATGATTATGTGGTATGAGATTGTGGCTTGTAGTTCGTGGTGGAATTGCTATAGGTCACTAGATTTCGTTATGTAAATCCATGCATTTGCCTCATGATCTATGTTTAAAAGAGGATAGAGTCCCAACTATTACTGATTTACCTGCTGTGTCACCAAGTGAATTTCAAGTTACCTTCTGCCACTTTTATTTGAGTCCCTCAGATTTGACAATTTGCCTGGCAGTCAGCCAACAGAGTGGGGTTTTTTTTTCCTGTTTCTATCATCATCATCATCATCATCACTGATGATTATATGTATTAAGGCTTCAGCATAGAGGGTTTTTTTTTCAGTTGTATTGTAAACAATAACCTATTAAGTGAAATAGCTTAAGGTGAAATAAATTGCAAATATCATGTATTTGGCATAGAACAAAAGAAGGTTATTGGTGTTCTTGTTCATTAGTTGACTTCCTCTAACAAGTTGAATACACTAGAATTAATTGCTAAATTCTCACTATTAGTGCACTGCAAAAATGATTACATCATTGCTCATTAACCTTATTGATTCATGTAACATTTATGTCCAAGACATGGTGATAGACTATAAGGGTGTTAGGAATACAGATTGATGTGGGTCTGACCTTCAAAGAGTTTGTAGTCTGATGAGGGAGATTAGATTCACACATGGATAATTCCAGAATAATGTAGGAAATACATTGTAAAATATATTTTCTTTGAGTAAAATACAGACAAAGTGCTATCAGATTTCAGAGGGTTGAGAGAGAGATACCTTTCATTTGGGATTATTCATGGCTTGTTAGAAGAGGTGACATTTAGGCTTAGCCTGGAAGTCAAAGTAGGATTGAAATGTGTCGGAAAGGAGGGAGGAGTCAGACAAAGTGGGGAGTTTTTAGGCCCTGTGGCTAACTGTGAGAAGTTCATCCCTTCAAGGGTGGAAGGTAAGGAAAAGCCTGAGGAGATAAGCAGAAGCTAGATTGCAGAGGGCTTTGAATGTGAAGTTAAGAAATTGGGAGTTAATTTTTTAGGAACTGAGTAGTCAATATGGAATTTAGATCAAGGAGAGTGTTGTCAGAGCAATTTGGGAAAAATGAATCTATTACGTGAATGACAGAAGGTGGATGATACTAGCCGTGTCTCTGTGTATTCCAGGGGTGAGCTTAAGGAGTGTTAAATCCAGGAGTTGGGAATGTGTACACTGAGGAGGAAACATGTTTTAAGAGCTGATTTTTTTCAGCAAAATCATGGCATATATATGATGTGCCGGACACTGAGAGTGCAATGGATATAAATGCAGCATAACTTGCCCTCTTGGGACCTACATAAGGTCAAAGTTGATGATCAGGAAGTACGTAAATAATTGTTTTATTACTGGCATGCTGCGCCTACAGACTGTGGGTAGAGCTTATAATACAGGGACACAACCTAGACTAGTGGGTCACAGGAGAGTCTTCTCCAAGAATGTGATATTTAAGTCCTTGAAAGATGAGGAGGGACTGATCAAGTGGGGCAGGGGAGGCCTGGGGAAAGATGGGGAGAAAGCATCCCTGGCCAGGAACAGGCAGGCAGGTACACAGGATCTGTGCTGCCGAGGAACCTGAGGAGGCCATCAGCAGTACAGGTGACCCTTGAACAACAGAGGGGTTAGGTACGCTGACTCCTCATGCAATCAAAAGACCATGTATCACTTTTGATTTGCCCAAAACTTATGTACTTATAATCTTCTGTTGACTGGAAGCCTTACCCATAATATAAACAGTCAATTAACACCTATTTTATATGTTATATGTATTATGTACTGTATTCATACAGTAAAGTAAACTAGAGAAAAGAATGCAATTAAGAAAAACATAAGGAATAGAAAATACATTTACAATATTTATTGAAAAAATTGAGGGGTAAGTGGTAATGGATGGAGACTTCACTGGGTGTGGTCAACACACAATAAAAAAAGAGAAAAAGAAAGAAAAAATCCACATATAACTAGATGCATGCAGTTCAAGCCCATATTGTTCAAGGGGGGACTGTATTTCCAATGGGGGGCCCTGGCCTCTAGACTTTATTCAACCTCTCATAAGCCTTGCAGGACATTGAGCATCCCTGACCTGGACAGGAAACACCATGGGCACCCTCCCTTTCCTCTTTCCCTATCCTTGTGCAACTATAACTCAAATCATGTCTCCACACATTTCTACCTTCTCCTCTTGGGTCAGCAACAGCACCCCTTGTCAGAGAGCTACAGCATGAAGGGAGGTACAGTGCAATGGGGAGGGGAGTGGCAGGAAAAGGGGGTAAAGAAGTTAGAAAATGTTAAGATCACTAAATCCCAGATGGAGACTTTTCTTCAGTGAGGGTTTGAGGTCAGAGTTACATGGTAGAGTTTGCCTGTGAAGTAGATAGGACTGCTATGTAGAAAAACATAAGATTGGCAAGAGAGTATGGGGTTACTGGGCGGAGAGCAGAAGTCAATGGTGGATTGAATTCTTGCAAATCAAGAAAGATTGCAAATTTGAGAAGACTGGGATATGGCAAATGATTGGATTTCTTATTTATGTGTGAGATTTACAGTCCTAAATATACATGAGTTCTTGTTACACTTAGAATTGCCATCTAGAAGAATGTATTCAGCCCACTCCCAAAGAAGCATAGGAGCATGGCACCAGTTTGAGACAACGTGGGGCACTTTGAAAGCATGGGAGACCCTGATCTAACCAAATGCCTTTTAGGCCTTGCTCTCCCCACAAGTCCTGCCTGAAGCTGTTCTTCAGACACTAAACTCGGAGCCTAAAGGAGTTTTACTTTACTAGGGGCCAAAGTCCCTAGAGTAGCTTCCTTTTAATGTTTCCTACCACATGGCATATGTCACAAAGATGGTGAATTTTACCAGAAATTCTCTCTTTACTGTCCATGGAGGGAGTATTAAGTACATATCAGTGCTGTTCACTTGGGCACATAATTGTTGGGAAGTATTTTTGAGGAGGTGTGAGCATGTTGTTCATTCCTTAGAAGGCTTCCAAGAATTTTGCTTTGCTTATTTTTGCATGGTTTTGGATAGACTTTACAAAGCACTCCTTCCCTGATGGAGTTTGTGATGATTCATTTCAAGTTTCAAAATAAATTTTTCCACTCAAGCAATTCAGTAAATCAGATTTCTTCCAACCATCACAACTTTATACTCACTCCCATGGCCCGCCTGCAGCTCCTGCCCTTTGATCTGAAAAGAGAATCTAGTTTAAAACCAGAGATGTCACCTTTGCCGGCACCAAAATTCATCAGGGGCCTTGGTTTCACGCCACACTCAGGTTTTCCACTAGTGTATTCAGTCTGCATAGTTGAGCAGCCCTCCTTGAAGTGGAATGTGGTTATTGGCAAAAGAATATAAAATCAGTTTTCATTTTAAAAAAGAAAATTTTCAGATTTTTCCTGATGAAATTTACGAGGTAGGTGATGGGAAAGAGACTACTGAATAGTTACCAACAGAAAAAAAAAATTGTTCTCACTTGCT